TTTGCCTCGGTAATTAGGTAATATTTTGGTAATATTTTTTTCCGGGGGGGGGGGGGGGGCAACATTACCACACATTATTAAATATTTGATAGCAATATAATCTTACAATCGATTATGTAAATTATGTCATTTTGGATTTTCCGTACCTAACTACATTTAGTACAGTTTTAGTGGTTATGGTTCAGTATAGTGGTGACTAGTATGTTAACGACATAAAATCTTTAAGATGGACGTAGAAATTTCTGATATTTTTGAAACAAGGTGTTTAAGTGAGAAGGAAAATGTGTGCACAAACGAGATCTAATACTAGAGATTAATCTACATAGACACAAAATACATATCATAGGTAGCCGAAATATATGTGTGCAATCGAGTTGTTTTTTTTTGTATAAACGAGTTGTAGCCATTAACCACGCCATCCACCACAGTATAATTATATTGACTTTAAGTATCACATAATAATAAATAATAAAATGTACAATATAGAGTATAAAATATAAAAATAAATATAAAAAATTGACATAATATGTTATGCATAAATCATCACTCCCAATAATCGTGTCAACCATAACATAAGACAAGTGCGGAATGCCTTTTAAATTAATACAAATAATATAAATAATATAAAATAATATCATTACACTAATCGCGTTGGGTCACGGTCGCGAACTCGAGACAAATTATTTATATATACTAAAAATTATATTATATAGGCACCCGTTTATCATATGCTATCATAGCTTAACTATAATCAACACATTTATAATATTATATAATACAAAAATATAATTATACACACCTATCTATTCCACGCAGAATAATCAATATACTGACACAAAAATGTTATAAACAATATAGACAAGGGTATTTTCTAAGGTTATTAGGTTATATATTTTTGATTAATCCTTAAATGTTCACTAGGTAAAAAAAACAACAGGACATTTTCATGTAAGATTTTTCTAGTTAATTTAAGATTTAAGGTCATTGAACTTAAAAAACATCGCCTTAAAAAAAATTGACAACTCAAATTTGAAATATGAAATATATCTTAAAGGACACAAATTCTTAAGCCCATTGTTTTATACATATATCCCCCAAGATACATAGTCCATATTTCTTATTACTTAATTTATAAATTATTAGATCTAAAAATGTAAAAACCTTTTATTATAATCATAAATATAATTATAAAATTAATTTACATAACTGCAAATATAAAAAATTGATAACATCATACTTATATGTAATAACAGAAAACAAATTAATATGTTTCAGTCTTTAGTTGTAAGCTAAAATAATCATTTATAGTGAAACATTTTAAAACAGTTCCTACCTTCTATATGATACAGTCTTAAATTACGTTTTAGGCAAATTACACTTGTTTGCCTAGTTGAACAAAACAACACCTTCCTTTTTTCGTAAAATCAGGATAATAGTCTACTTTATCATATCTGATTTTATCATATGGTCTTGGGGCAATTTCATTTTTTATTTTTTTGGCAGGAAAATCGTTTGATTTTTCTAACGGTCTACGTCCAACTCTTGGCTTGTCTTTACTCGTCAACGATATGTCGATTCATGTCTAAACTCTTTTAGCCTTTTTTGTTTTTTACCTAGTGCTTTACAGTCTCTACGATATAGTATCCATGCGTTATTAACTCTATAAAGATTTGTATCTTACTAGATGCATTATTTTTGTACAATAATTTTCATGGAATTTGAAAAATTATTTATTATTAGACTATTGGTTACACTAGATATATTTGTGATAGACCAAAAAATAAATAAATATTTGGCGGGAATGCGAACAGATTTCAGTTAACAGTTACCTAGTGATTGACGATTATCAGTAAAGTGATTGTGATAATAATTTTTTCATTTTATTTAATTGTTCTCAAGAAGACATAATAACGAATTTAAATTAGTTTTTAAAAGTTTTATTGCATTATTAGGTTCATCGGAATGATGGACAAAAGATTAGATGTTTTAGTCGAAAAAACGGTCGATTTAATTTTTCTCGCGCGCGCGACGTTGTACACGTTGACAATGTTGACTTGAGTATGAGTGTGGCGTGTGCGTGTTTATTTCTAGTATTTCTAACAACACTGTCATAATAGAAATAATTATTTATAAGTTTATAAAAAGTCCTACAACAATAAACTATAAACGATCACGATATCACGATTAAAATCTAATAGTATATTTTAATATTATTATTTATTAGTATATATTACCTACTTGTTTATGATCCTATGTATATATTATTATGTATAGGTACTGGGTTATAATGCTATATTAGTTACAATTTTTTCGTTTGCTCTTTATTTAAGTAATTTCATCTAGTCAAATTAATTTTCTAGTAATTACAAAATGTTGTATTTATGAAGATACAAAAATTAAATTTCATTATTTATAACATGTATCCTACGCAAAATACAATTTCTTGAATTCAGTATTTACCGAATTTACTGGTTAGTAAGTCAGCTCACAACTTTCAATTACTTTTTTCTTTAGTTTTATTTGAAAAAATTGTTTTCAAAAACTAGGATAATAATTGCTATAGCCTGTTCCCTGTGGATAGTGGTTCTGATGATTCTGATGATGACAATGTATCAGAAGTACCACAGCATGAAATGGAGAAGTTTATGGCCACATTAGACAATGATTTTGAAGATTGGAAAAGTTAATTTTATTTTTTTAAGTATTAATTTATATATTTTTTTAATTGGTTACTAAAATATTTTGAATTGTAGGAATATAATGAAATATTAGTGAAAGAATTTAAAAGAAAACAAGAAACAATTGATAAAAATATATTATAGAAGCATAATATAGAACTAAATTATTTTATTACTGAACCATAATTATACCAAGATACTCTATTACCTAATCATGAAAATCAGACATATTCTAAATCTATTCTATGACCTTTTCAAGCCACTCCGTCATCTTCTCAATCAACTCCTTCATTCGGCTCAAGGCGTTCAAAACGAATGCATAAATCAACAAACAGTTCTAATCAAGGTAATGATAAAATACAAACTAATAATAAACCAAATTTAAAAACTCAAAAAATAAAGAAAGTTCCTCCAAAAAATTTTGAATTTAAATAGAAAAAATCTAGTCCTAATTTTAATGTCGAAGTTCCTTTAACTCAAGAGTATCTCGTCAATGAATATACAAAGACTCCTTTGGAATAATTTTCAACTTTTTTTCTGATGACATATTAATTTTAATTGTGGAACAAACAAATTTATATTCATTTCAAAAGTTTAATAAATCAGTTTGTACTACAGTTAAAGAAATAAAAGATCTAATTGGTATTATGTTAATTTTGGTATTGTAAAAATGACAGCATTTTCAGATTACTGGTCACTATATATAAGATATAGTCAAGTATCAAATGTTATATCACTAAAAACATATAAACAGTTTATGCGTTGTCTACATTTTTTTAATAATGAAGAGATTGATGACTCTGATAAGTTTTATAAAGTTAGGCAACTTTTAGATGTAATTCGAATAAATTGTCTGTCAGGTTCTCAAAGGAAACGATTTTCTATTGGTGAGATGATGGTGATCTACAAAGTGAAAAAAGCAGCATCGAAAAATTAGAAATTTAAAAAAATGATAATTTAAGTTTTATTAAAATGTTACTAATTTCTCCTACCAATATTTTTTGAATAATAACAATTAACAAAAATTGGTCAAAGACATACGAGTATTATAATACTCGTACGTTTGGGTGTCCAATTGAAAAAAAATGTATTAGTAATAAAATTACATTAAGTTTAATTGTAGAAACATAATACGATAACCTTCTAGTCACTCTACAATGATACATCGTATTGATACATAATGTTTCGTTTAACACTGCAAAGGTTTCAATAAAATACCGTTTCTTATACATATTTTTATCATATTGTTGTTATATTTATATATTCATATGTCATTTAATTTCGTCAACCTTTTTCAGATAATATTGTTTTTATTGACGTATTTATAATAAACAGGTTTATTTTTTATTTTTTAGCACGCACGTAAATCTAATTAAAAGTTTTCTTTGATTTTAATATAATATATAATGTAGTATAATTTCATACAGTAAATAGTATATGAATAAAAAATTAAATCGTTTGACCTTAATCATACAATTTCAAATATTTCATAGTTATTTATTGGCAGGAAGAAATTATAATAAAGTGTACTCATGTAAAAAGTGTTTCACTTGCCGTTTTTTTGGTTAATGTTTTTCAGGAATAGGACCTCGTCATCTAACAAGGACTTACTGTATATATCATGTATTTCTATTATTAACCTTAAGTCATTACCGGCTGACTTTGCATCTTAAATGAACGTTTGAAGTTCAAATTTCGACAAAATTATTCAAAAATATTTTGTTAGTAGAATTCATAAATCTCTACTATTCAACCCTTTAAGGTTCTATATAAGTTCTTTATTTTATAATAATTTAAAAATAATAGTATTTTTAGTATTTCATTTAATGTATACTTATTTTGATCTATTTATCAGATCATTTAGTTGGGGAATTTTAAAAATATTGACTGATGTTTCTATTAAATTTAATAAAAATTCAAATGACCGGTATTTTAATTAAAAACAAATTAATTAATATTTAATTATTATAAAATTTAACTACGTGTTTATTTTTTATCGACACAATTTAAAATTTATAAAATTCATAATGCAAGAAAATCTTTAAAACTGTTATAATAATCGACTTAACATTTGTGTAAATAAATCACCTATACAAAACGCCGGATAATTATAAATGTATTGATAAGTTATAATCAACATAAAAATAAAAAAATACAAAATGTATTGAATTCAAAGTCAATGTTAGACATTTTAATTAAATATGAATTCAACTAGGACTCCAATTATTCTAATTTAAGTAAGTAGACAAATCATAAAAATAATTTTGATTTCTATTAACAAAAGTAAGTATAACTAAATAAATTAAAACTATTATGCAGTTTTTCATTTAAATTTTCAAATATCAGTTGTTTTTCTATATGATTATGATATGTAGGAGTATGATTGATGCATTTTTCAATTGATCATAGGTAGGTATGCATTACATTACAAATATCCAATACAAAAAATGTATTAGGATATAAGCAATTAAAACAAAGAACAATTGATGCAACCAGAATAATCTAAAAAAAAAGACGTTAAATAAATAATAAATAAAAAATAAAATATCATGACACGTTAAACTTGATTAAGTACGATTGAAATTTCAATTTTCTTGTCCTCGAATTCTACTCAAACTCAATTTGTCTTAAGCAAAAATCTAAATTTATTTTTGTTTAAACTTAAAATTGTGACTTAAATTTAATTAATACACTTTTATATTTATCCAAAATGTTGTTTTAACTTAATAAATAATAATAAGCATTTAATATTGATAATTAAAGTTATATTTAAATTTTAAATTTCTTTTGTGAATAAATAATTACTAATTTAATGTTTAAATATTAATACAATATTTTGATCAGATTATTTGAATTTTTCAAAAGGTCAGAACACATATTTTAACTTAAATTTTTTTCTAATCGAGAGCTTAAAATTAATTACTTAATTAAATAAACCAAAAACAATCAATACTTTACTTTCGATTTTTCGATACAGCCTTCTCTTTATTGCTATAGTCTTCGTGAAGTATATATTTTCTGATTCCAAAATAATAGATTTTTAAATAGGCTTCCCAATCGAATTCTTCTAAGCTAAACCAAAACACGTCACGATCTTCTTTACTGAGTATAGACCAAAGTTTCCTGGTATTTTTATTGTCAAATGACCATTGTTTAGTAGTAAATACGTTAAGCAAATTCAACATTTTTTCTATTTTTGCATACATCTTCAGCGTTCTAAAAAAAATATAAAAATGTTTCTTTAGCTTCTATAAAAGTTCTAATTAAATCTAAAATTTATTAAGAAAATGTGTTAAATTCAAAAAATTTTAATTTTGTTTTTACAAAAAATACAAATCATATGAGTGTAAAGATTTGCTTACACATCTTTTTGTAAAGAATGTTTAAGTATTAAAATTAAAAATTACTATTGTTATATACATAAATAAATTATAGGTTATAAAATTATTAATCAAAACTTACTTGGGAGATTTACCACATATAATTAATAAAAAATCCATTAATGCAGCTGGTACTGTATGTAGCCAGAATTTCAGAATTATGCCAAATAATAAATTGGTATAGAAAATTTCATACAAATACCACACAGATCTCAGTGGAGGAACTTCAAAATAATGGTTGCGTATTTCTTTAATAAATCTGTCCCATGTCAACGGACTTTCAAAACTAGAAACGTAGTTATATATTTTTGGTACATTTTTCGTATGTTCTGAACGTTGATATCTAAAAATAATGACAATTTTAACGTGTTAGCATAAATTAAAGAAAGAAAATAAGAACATACCTGTTAACTGTATCCCACATAACACTGATTAATGCGTTTACTGTATAATCGACTGGAATAATATCAGTTATTTTAGCCTTGTCGACACATATCGCTCTTAAAATACCAGTTATGGTTCCAGTAACTATACCAGATGGCCCATTTATAGTATCCAACCAACCAGGATAAGGTTCTGACTGTGTGCATCCAACTGTAACATGCGGTCTTTTTTTTTTAATAATTATTTGTCTTTATACTCGTATTTGACTTTATTTAAACCGTCAAATTACTTCGTCGCATCGTAACCGAAAGCATTATTACCGCGGTTTACTCTCAAACATAGTAAAACAATAAATACAAATTTGGCAATCGTTTTAAATAAATCAACTATGTATATTTTATGATTTACTTATTAAACAAACATGTTGTATACATTTTCATATTTTCAACTAACAACTTATGATAATAATGATTATTTTAATATTTTTTTTTCTGTTTTAAATTTTAATATTTATTTTACCCATCCAAAAGTTTTTTATGTACAGCTCAACATTTCTAATACAGTTAATTGGAATAAAATATATACTTAAGTTATTTCAGTGAAAGTAAAATACAACGATAAGAGGTTGCTTTATTAAGTTCATACTGTATATTAAATGTTGACGGTTATTATAATGTTGGGAGATAAATAATTTTATTTAAAACTATGTAAAGGATAAAATTAATAAAAAAGTGAGCAAGTAGGTAACCATTCTGCTAAATTAAGTGTCAAGTATAGGTACCTCGCATTTTTTTGGGTTACTAAAATGGTATATTAAATTTGACTTAAATTATGTACCAACAGTAGTATATTCTGAGAAAAAACATTTTTTTAACTTTGGTTACAAATATTGTATAATTATTTTAATAATAATACTAAAAATTTAAAAAAATATTATTTTTTAGATTTTAAATGGAATGTCGATTCTACTGATTTTACAGTGATGTGTGTTATTTTATTATTTTAATTTTTTGTCTAAAGCAGTTTTTTTATAGAAGAAAAATATTTCGTTTATAAGCACTGATATTAGTTTTTGTTTGCAAATTAAATCAGATTGAATAAAAAAATACCCAGTTTTTTTTCAAAATAATCGAAAATCACAAAAAAATAAATAAAAATAAGAATATAATTTTATAACATTTAACACTATCAATAAAATAATTGTTTGATAACCAAAAAGTTAGATCGTCATCACGCATAACCGTTTTTTGTATACGATGATTGGTAAGTATATCATTAAATTCAAATTTAACACACCCATTACAATGACCAACTAAAATATATCCACAAGGCACAAATAAAAACATAATTTAGCATTTTAATATTCCCATAGTTTGATCATCATAATCTATTACTGTATTTATTAAATATACTTACTAATCGATGGACGAAATATAGAAATCGGCAATTGGTTGTGATTATCTAGTATCAAATTTTCTGCGATTGCTTTAGTAAATGTGTACGTATTAGGCCAATTTCCTAAAATGCTATATTATATATATATAAATAAGAATTTAAAAAAAAATGATTACTTATTTATAATTATAAAACTTACTTAGCACATGAAATTTCATCAATGGACATATTTTTTAGCTCTTTAACTGTAATCAAAACAGGGTAGAATTTTTCCTTAATTACATTCCTCGGACAATGTGAATAAGCGGTCGATACGTGTACAAGACCCTGCAACAATAAATATTAATTATGCATTCGGATTGGGCTTCGTCTCATGTTGTAATACCCGGAAATAAAAAAGCAGACTTGACTTAATAACAACCAGAGCCTCAGAAACATCTATATTATTTTAAACACACTAAATAGAAAACATTTCGGGAAAATCAGAATAAAGTATCATTTCACACTTGCAGATCTCTAGTCAGAATAGAATACACTCATTCAAATCACTCCTTCCTTATTACCAAAGGACCGGTCCTGAAATGCAGTGGCGTATTCAATGGTGGTTAGGGGGTTACGACCCCCCTCGAAATTTTTTCGACTATTTATATATTTTGTAAGTCACACTACACATTACACATACTGACATACTTATACTACAGTATACTATGATAATTTTCGGGCAAAAATGTTTTGTTTATACATTTTAAATATTTATTATATTATGTTTTTAGAAATTTATAAAGCCACTTAACATAACCTAAGTATACTTCATATCTTATATTGGCCTTACCGTCGAAATCATATAATTTATAAATCATTGAACATTTATCATCAAGTATGGTTGTACATCATATCAATAACAAAATTTATCTGTAGGTAGAAAGATCATAAATTAAAATTTTCTTATCTTTCTGTTTTTTTCCAATAACAAAAGTACCTACATATATAGTATCCACAATACCTAAGTAATAAAATTTCCATCAATGCTAATTCACATTCCGCAATACTCTTCAGTCGGCTGCTTTATGTGCAGTTGAAACTTGAAAGCACTCGTATTATTTATATTTATGTAATTTAATCTACTCGACTATATTGTTTTTATAAATTTTGAGACGTATACTAATTAATAATTTATAATCATAAGTA